GGGTCAAAATTTGAAAATTTGCAAAAAAAATTTTTTTATATGTTTTAATAACTAGGTGGGTATTTTAAATTTTTTTTAAAAAAATTTTATAAATTTTTATATATGAAATTTAAAAAAAAAAGCCAGTCGGCCAGGTCTGTTTAAAAGTTTCATGTTATGAAAACCAATATATTAAATTTGTGTGGCCTTATATTTATAATTTTTTAAAGTTTTAAATAATTTAATAAATATACTACTAGTATCTAATAATAGCAAAACAAGTTTACAGATTATATAAATACTTATTTACTATAGATAATACACTTGACTCTCGCTAATATAACCTATTTGAATTACTTTTATATTCATATTGATAGAATATTAGTAAGAGATTATAGTAAAGTGATATATATAAAGGAGTTTTGAAATAAAAAATTATAAAAACTTGTCTTGTGACTTAGATTGATATTAACTTAGATTGATATTAATGAGAGTTATATGTGTTCTTTAAATCATTTCATTCACTTTATTTTAATTGGAAAGTACAAGATTTATTTATATCTGATATAAATAAAAATAATACAAATAAAATAAAATACTATATTGTATATTATATACTATAATTATAAAGCTCACTAAATATGAAATATGTACATATAGTAATGAATATAATTTGTGGTATCTATCATATGCCTTGGCGTAACAATAATGTAACAAATAGAAATAAGAATATTAATAATTTCATGAAACATTCAACTTAAAACCTGTTGTTATGAAATAAAAGCAAATAAATTCTATTTAATAGATTAGATAATAGTATAAAAATTTGCAAAAGTAGATTTTGGTTTTGTATATTCAACAACTAGGATAGAATATATAGTAATTATAATTAGTTTAAAGCACATAAGCTATTTAGTATTGTTATACTCAAGACATGACCAGTTCTAAGGAAATAATGATAATTTTTTAAAATAAGTAAATTAATTTTTTTTCTAATTTAATAAAATTTATTAAATTAATACTTTAAGTTTAAAAGTCTTATAGTATATAAAATAAATTATAGTAAACTCGCAATATATAAAATAACTCAAATATAAAAACAAATGAATACTTATACTATTTCAGTATACGAATAATGGAATTTTCATAAATATTTTTGAAAGGATTTTAGTAAACTTACATAAAAAATAATCTAAAATACTTAAAAATATTTTGTATAAGATATATCTTATTTACAATAAGGCAGGATACATCATACTGATTTTTATAGTAGAAAAATTTTGAAAGACCAACACACTAATAATAATACACAATCTTAAATTGCATATCTGAATAGTTTTAAAAAAAAGATAAATATGTTTCAGAAAGCAAAATTTATAGAGTTATGCTATATATTCTTTTGAAGTTTTATCAAGAAAGCAGTTATACAATATGCAGACATCTATAGATTTGGTGTTACTATAGCTGAAATAAAAACAGATCAAAGACATTTTGATGATTATGAATTCAGTACAAAAAGATTTGCTAAAGATTACAGACCAAGTTTACCTCTGAAATCCTAACTACTATATTAAATTAGCAAAGCATTGTATAGATTTAAATCTACAAAAATGGCCTAGTGTTTGGATGTTTATAAGAAAATTAATATTTGGCTTAATAAAATAACTAATTCAAATGATGATAGAATTAAAAAGTAATTTCTAGATACTATTAAAACTATTAAATTATTACTAATACCAAAGTTTTCTGATGAAATGTATTCAAGCAAAATTATTAGCATAAAGTTAATTTCAAATACAATTAAAAATATTTATTTCAGCTAATAAATTAAATTATACTATATTATTACTGTTTTTAAAATTCTGTGTCTCTATATAATTAACACTTAACTATAGAATTGATTGCAGAATCAATTTTTATACTCTTGCATCTCAATAATTATTATAAATTTGAAAATGCAGGTGTATAAAAATTGATTCTGCAAATCAATCCATATTTATTTGTTAATTGTTTAGAGATATAGAATTTTGAAAATTGCGATAAATAATACTGTTTATTTAGATTTGTCTCAGGATGATTTGCTTAAACTAATTTTAATATTACAGTTAATTTAAAGTTTTTGTATGTGATTATAGCATTCAGATATATGGATCTTGATTTTATTTCTTAAAGATCATTTCTAATAGTGTTCTAGCAAAGCCTTGTCCTAGTTGAATTTAAACTTGTGATCTTGCAATTGTAATTGGAACTTCTAACCACTGTAATTTAAGCTAACTACAGTAGTATATATATTAACTTTTTATATATCATATTGACTATTTTATCAGTTATATAATATCCTAATATTACACCTGATTATGAAAAACCTATTGCTAACCAAAACTTTTATATTTTTGTTATATTAGATTCAATAAAGAATTATAATTATTATGCAATTTTAATTATATACATATATATATATATAAGTTATATTCTAGAAATTCTGAAATTATGTTCTAGAAATATCAAAATTATGTTCTAAAAATATTAACTATACTGTATATGTTCTAGAAATATTACTTATACTGTATAAATACTTTGATTTACATATTGTGAATTCCTCTAGAGTTAAGATATAAAGAGTTTCTAAAATAATAAAACATATACAAATTTTTATAAATATTTATCTTATTACACTAAAAAAATTGTTCTATTCAAATTTTCATAAAATGATACCTTTATTGAATGAATATCTTTTTGAAATACTTAATAATCTTAGAGCCTACTATGACAGTTTATTTTCATACTATTTTATAAATTATCAATGGTGTAGAAATATAGTACAAATACTATAGCGCGATTTTGACAAACATCTTTAAGCTAAGAGAATCATAAGAATATTTCTTTTATTATTAAGTATTGCTGAACAGTTCCAGTTAAATAATTATGACCTATTATTTGATTATTTATTATTTGTAAAGTTGATAAATATATCTTGGTTGATCTTTGAAATTATAAATTGGATAAAAAGTGAGGAGCATGATCTGTGTGATTATTTATACTATCTACAAAATCATTGAAATAATGAGATTTGGCTCATATAAATACAATTCAATCTTTGAGTTTTGAAGGCAACCAACTAAGCGAGCAAATTGTAGTTGTGTTAGCAGAAGCTCTTTGTAAAAACACATTACTAATATTATTAGAATTCTGGAATTGTGAAATTGGTGCCCAATAAAGCAGAGTATTAGCTAATATTCTTAACAGAAATACTACATTAATACATTTTGATATTAATGATAGTAATATTGGTTTAGAGAATGAATTAGCAATTGTAGGATCTCTTTGTAGAAATATTAGTTGATCTCCTTAAAACTTGGATTCAATAGAATAGAATCCTTAAGAGAAAGCATGATAATAAGTGCTTATTTTTATTAATAATACAATAAGTGTCTTAGACCTTTAAAAAAAATCAAATTGGACAGAAGAATCTAAAAATATTGGTTGAAGTTCTTTATATAAATACGTCCTTCACTAACCTGAACTTTTGGAATAATAAGATTAATAATAAAGATATTAAACCCTTAATAAAGGCTCTTTGTCAGAGTAAAACATTGAAGTCTTTAAATCTTAACCTAAATTTTCTTGGTTTTGAAACTAGAAACATTTTATAAAGATTCTTTGTAAAACAACACCTTGATCACTTTAAATTTGATAATAATTTACTTGGTTTTAAAGAAAAGAGAGATAATAAAGGTTCTTTGTAAACATAATAATACTTAAACTTTTTTAGATTTTTGATACAATTAGCTAAGTGTTTTTAAACAAAGATACTTAGCATCAGCCCTTAGTAAAAAAATTACACCAAATTCTAGTCATAATTTTAATTTTTCTACTATTAAAGAATTCTTTTTTATTTTTTTATATTATTATTATTTTATTTTTTTTATTTTTTTTTGAATATTATTTTATTATTCTTTTTTTTATTTTTATATATACATTTTTTTAACATTTTTTTATTTTAATTACAATTTTTTATTTCATAATTACATTGTAAATAATAATACAAAAGTAATTTTAAATCTTATATCTAGGTTTAAAAATGTAGAGTATCTTTTTTAAAAAAGTGAAACCAATTGATTTAAATTTTTTCTTCAAAATTAATATTTTATCTGCCTATCATATTTCTTCTATTTACAAGTAGTGATGCTATCCTACTCCAACCAGTAAGTTTGTGTTTAAAATCTGTTAGAATACTGTTTTGGAGCATTTGCATTATTGAACTTAGTTTACTCATTTGCAATAATAATTATACTTGCATAAGCAATTCAATAAACCTGCTATAACTATTATTTTTTATTTAAAAAAATACATAAAATTACAAATCGCTTATCTAATAGGTGTTTGATACTAAATGATTAATTATTATTACTCAATCAGATGACTTTATTTGAATAAAAAAATATAAGGTAAAGGGGATATTATAGACAGGTTAAAGTTTTTACTAATAAAACTTTTTATTAAGTATATAAACTCTCATATAAAAATTATTATTCAAACTGTTGCTCAATATAGAATTAAATAACAAAAAAAAAAGATCTTTATATAATAAACATTTTTAGACAAATGATTGATACACAAAAGTGTATATAAAATCCGGATTTTAGAGGGGGGGTATTGTGGACAAATTTAAAAAAAATTTTTTTTTTATTGAGCCGAGTAGATAAAAAAATTTCTAGATAGGATCTTTGTATTAATCATATGCACCGTGAGTCCCTAACGCTAACCTAAGCTAATATCGATATTAAAATAAATACAGTATTACTGTAAATGCGTAACATCTTAACACCTCTGATAATCAGTGATTAAAAAGGCCAGTACGTAGAGACTTTTCACCCCCCAGGGTATTTAATTTTTTTTTTTTTTTTTTTTTTTTTTTTTTTTTTATACTTGCCTGACTTTTTATTCTTGCGATCTTCTTTTTCTTGTTTTTTTCACACCTGTTCTTCTTTCTTTCGCTCCCGTTCTTCTTTTTTTCGCTCTCACTCTTCCTTTTTTCGATTAGCTTCGGCGACTTTTTTGTTCACTACTTCGTTTGCCATTTTTAGTTGTTGCCAACTGTCTTCGGAAGTAAGAAGTTGTGCAAACGGAAGAGTTTTTCTTTTTTTAGGAGAAGGTGACTCAGATTCATGTGGATCTAAAGAAGCTTTAGGAGTTTCAGCATTCAAAATTCGAGGAACCGGGTACTTCAGAGCAGAACGAAGAGAGCATGTGCCGGGATTCTTATAAGTTTCTAATTCTTCTTTCATTGCTACAAACTGAACTTTTAATAG